TTTCGCACTCAGATGTGCTAAACGGTTTACAGGATTCCCACTACAGAGCCAGATCTGAAAGCCTTGGGTTTGAGCTTGCGGTGGGGCTGTGGCATTTCCCAAAGACAGCCAGACTCGTTTCCAGGCTGTATTCAGCACTGGTGGAAAGGTACCTGCCCTTACCTTTGGTCAAAAACATTTATCAGTGAACATCTGTATAATAATAAGCATTTGCAGTTTCAGTATTTTACAATGGCTGTTGTTTTCCCGGAGCATTTTCTAGTATTCAGAGTTTAATTTTCATCAAGTAATTCTGCACGTATGTGTATGTTTGTCTAACTCCTGAGTCATTCTTTCGCTTTTTTCCTGTGATGTATTTTTTGTTTTCATGAATCCTTAGAATCTGTGTTCAGATTTGATGTTCATTTTCATGGGTGTGTACTTGATGAGTCTTTGTGAGCTTACTCCAAGTGTGTGTTGGTAGCCATGAAGGCTGGGAGAGGGGCTCAGTTCCAGTCTCCAGGTCCCATAACACCAGAACTCACTCCCAAGGTCTGTCCTCTGACCGATGTGTGCCCCCACCCTAGTGTGGTGATACAGTATTTGTGATTTATTAAAGCTTGGCTGAGGGTACAGAAAGCAAAGCCAGCCACAAGCCATAGAGCCAGGAAATGGTGCTATACACCTTTGATCTTGGCACTACGGATGTTGCAGGAGCATTTTATTCTCTAGCCAAGCTGAGGAGAGACCAGCCCTTGGGGTCTGAGGTAGAGATGAGAGCTAGTGGCAAACTGCTTTCCTTTTCTGAGCTTCAGCTTGAAACTTGGACCCCAGTATCTGTCCCCGGGATTTTATCATTCACTCTGACCCATGTGAGCATATACACAGAAACACACACACACAGACACACACACAGACACACACACACACACACACACACACACAGGAGTGGGGCTTGGGTTACAGGTGGTTGTGAGCCACCCAATGTGGGTGTTGGCTATGTGAACTGGAGTCTTCTGGAACAACAGCAGGTGCTCTCAAGCGTTGAGCCATCTGTCCAGCCCTGTTTAGCACATGTGAGATTGCTTCACTTTTACCTGGAGTTTGTGAGCTAAACCTACCCTTTGTGTAGACACAGAAATACATGCCGCATCACACAAGCACCTTGAAGGCCAAGCTGCGCCTGAATGGCACAATCACAGCAGCTGAGGAAAACTATAACCATAACTATTTGTCTTTAATTTCTTCACAGACCACAGAACTCTAGAAATATATAAACTCTAGAAATGACAGAGACATCTTGCCTGTCAGTCACCTGAAGTTCTTTTGTAATCTTCCATCTTTAGTCCATAGGCCATAGTGTGTCTGGCAGATTTTTCAGTAAAGCAGGAAACTTCAAACTGTCCACTTGTATTGGCAGTTTGTCAGTCACTTTTCTCTGAGTCCTGCAGACTGTCTGGCAGACCCTTTCATGAAGCAGGAACTCTGTAGCACTGTCCACCTTGAATCAGCAGTCAATTTTCTGTGGGTCCTGCATGTCCAGTTTATACAGCATAACGTCAAACAGTCCAGGCAAGAGCAGTATCGTGTCCAAATGGCTAGCCTTGCCACACTGGAGGTAAACTCCATATGTGTTTTTTCGATGTCCATCTTCCTTTCTGACTCAGGTGGTGCTGCCAGGAGCAGTTATGTCTCACTGTCAAGAAAAACCCTAAACCATTTTAAATGCCATATTGTGTAGGTCTTTGAAAGGTTTGAAGAAGAACGCCTCTCTGTCTCAGATACATCTCTGTGTATCTTGAAAAAAACTTAACTAACTTAACTCTAAGCTGAGACTATCATAGGCAATTGTCTATAATCTGTACTACATTATATATTACATTTCTAAATGAGCTACAAAAACACAGTACCTAAACAAAAGGAGAAATATACATATCGCCAAATTGACCTTAAGTTCTATCAATAAGTGCAAATCCATTCCAAAACAAAGTAGTAATCAATAAATAAAACATGGGTGGCTCTAATTGGAGTCTCTGTCTCTTGCCTTCCCGTTTGCAATTTGAGATGGGGACCCTGAGCTCCAGCTTCCAGCTGCGCTTGCCAGGTCTGCCACCTGCTTTCCCTGCTGTTATGGCGCCGCGCCTTAACGCCCTGGAACCACAATCCCCGAACAAAACTCTTTCTTCTGTGTTGTTGCCTTGGCTGTGGTGTTGTATAAGAGCAACAGAATCCCTGACTAAGATAGTCTGATACGAGACCCGAAGGGTTTGCCTCCCGCATGGGTGCTCTTTCGGCAAACCTTAGTGTCTACTCAGGAAGGTGGCCTTTAAGGGGACACGAGCCTCGACACTCTTAAAGTAGAAGTGTCTTAAAGTAGGGTGCCCTGTTGCATCAGGGCGGTGGAGGTGTGTGTGTGACTGACTGACTGTTAAGGGACTCCATGGCGAGGCTCTGGCGGTGGCAATCACACATTGCCTTTTCACAGAGCCCTAGGGGCGGAGGGCGTGTATGGAGAGACGAGTCTAATGGCTTATCCATCAGGCATGCATTCTCACGTGCAGCGGCCACCTCGCTCACGTGTTCATGCGCGGCCTGAGGCACATGTGAGCACGCCCCTCCAGCAAAAATGCAGGGGCGGGGACATGTCCATGGGAAAGGCTGGGACTCATGAGCTGTGACTGCTCCCCGAAGGGAGGGGAGCTCGGTGGAAGGGCGGGTTCGGGTTCGGGTTCGGGTCAGCTAGGTGAGTAACTGCCTGACAGGGCATCCTCCGGTAAGCTACATTGGGAAGGGTAAGTTTAATGCTTGAACCCCAGCCCTTGCGGGAGCATGGTGGGGACCGCCCCCCCATGCCCAAGAGGGCCTGGGATGCAATGTGCCTGAGCCTGGCTTAGCCGCGGACTGGACCCGTCAGCCCTGCGGGCTCAGAGAAGAGGTCTGAGAAATACAGAGCCTGGGATGCCTGACCCGGACAGCGTGGATGGGCAGGACTGGCTGTGGCCGTGGCCCGATGACGTGAAGCCACGGGCCTGCCCTCACCAGGAAGGCAAGTGTGACCGGACGAGGGGCGATGGACCCCGTGACGGGGCGCGCCTTGCCGGTGCCCCTGCGCATGCGCGTGCCCATGCGCAAGCGCTGTGACGCCAGCCAATCAGAGCGCGCCGTATTGGGAGGTGGGGCCAAACTAAGCCTGAGCGACCCGACCCGTGAGGGGAAGGAGGCTTTCTGGCCTGGCGGAGGCACGGGCCTCGGTGGGTGGCGGCCTTGTGTGCTTTTGTCTGCGTGTGCGCTGTGGGGCCGTTTCGGGGGTCGCGCTGCGGCTCCGGCGCGGTTTGGAGGCATCGGGGACGATGAAAGCTCTCGACTAGGACAGTGGGTCACACAGCGAGAGCGTGCAGGGTAGCACTTGCGGTGACGCGGGGCGCTGCACGTCAGGTCCACTTCGGGCGGGAAGAGGCTCCGGGACCAAGAACGGAACGCGCTGGTGAGGGCAGCAGGTTCCTAGAAGAGTGGGTGGGGCAGTCAGTGGACTGGGAGAGGCCTGCGGGCTTCCCGCATCTGCCCGTGTCCCTGTAGCCTTTGGGCCCTGACTGGACAACTGGGTCCTCCCGTGATCCCTCCCCTGGCAATACCTCGGCAGGCTGGCTACTCGGAGGGAAGGGGAAGGGGAAGCCCAGGCACTTTGCGCCCGCACACGGGGCCGTCCAAGCCGGCAATGGGTGACTGATGGGTGGGCTTCACACCTGCCCTTCGGGAGTGCCCTGCTCAGCCTCGGGCGTGCCTGCACAGTGGTGCTTCAGCTAGCACTAGATCATTCCAGGAGGCGGGCAAGGAGCCTCTCACAGGAACGTACTCAACTGTGGTCAGCTCGACCAGGCGACTGGCGGGTAACCAGCGGACTCAGTCACAAGCCCCGGATCAGCCCGGATCCGCAGCCCTTCGGCGAGGGGAACGGGGTCTCGAGGCACAAGTGTCAGGGTTAATCTCTGATGGGAGCTTTGGAAGCCTCGCTCTCAGGCCTGGTCAAGAAATAGAACACGGAAGGCGGTGGCGGAAGGGGTCCCGAGGGTTGTGGGTCTGAAGAGAGCTGGCTGTGACAGTGAGGTGTGGAAGAGGCAGTAGTGACCATCCACGTATTTCTCTGTCCCTGTCCAATAGGAGTCCTCGGGTGGGGGGGTGTGACACCTGGGTCTCGCCTACATGCAGCCATGGGCCTCGCCTCAGCAGAAACGCCTATCTGAGGGCGCTGGGGCAGGGCCGGGCGCCTTCACCAACCCGCAGCTTCTGCATGCATCCAGATCTCACAAGGGCCGCTTTAAGCCACTTCACCTTGGGTGTGCATGAGAGTTGTGCGTTGGGAGGTGGGGCCTAGATGGGTGTGACCACATGCCGAGGAGGAGGCTCCCAGGGAGGGAGAGTACCCTGGTGGACGATTGATTGCCTATTGGGGAACTCTCTTATGGGTCTCCCTAGTCGTGACGGGGATCAGGGAGGGGGAGCCTTCCTTATCTTCTGCGGTGCGATGGAGGGATTACAAAGGGGCATGACAAAGGCAGCAAGCCTGTGGGGTGATATGAGGAGCTTCACTTCCAAATGGGACTGGATAAAGGCCCCAGAGGGCAAGGCTAGGGAGGGGTCTTGAAGGCTACAGGGATCGGGAGGTCTGAGGGGACGCCTCATGAGCGGGGAGACTTGGACTTCTCGGTGACTGAGTAGGCCCCTCAGTGGGTTGGACCTCCCAACCAGCCACCAGAATTAGGCGTCCTGTTTTGCAGGGCAGGGGAGGGACAGTGCCCAGGCTTTTCCTGGCCAAGGGTTCGGAAACGGCAGAGAGTTCCGATCTTGAGGGGTAGGGGGGTCTTGGAGTTCCATTTTCAGGTAGAGAAATGAGACAGGACAGAACACTGGTGACCTCCCCTCACCCTCTCTTTGCTCTACCTCAAGAGCAAGGGCACCTGGCCACACCCTGTGGACTCCCAGTCCCTGTTTCATTGCCCCGTCTCGTAATGCCTCCTGCTATCTGTAGTTCCCGGAATCCTGTCTAGCCCAAGAAGATTCTAACCATGTCAAGCAGGGAATGGAAAGCCACGGGAAGTGCTGGCATGCACACAAGGCTGGATCCAAATCTCATACCAGACGACACCCAGAACCCAGATGCAGTCATCCCAGGTAAAAGAAGAAAAAAACAAAACAAAAAACAAACAAACAAACAACAACAAAAAAAAAAACTGGTGGGCTCCTGTAGGACTGTGTCCACCAAGGAGACGTCTGAAAATCTCTTGGCAGGTAGAACACTTGAGCGGGTGAGTTGGTTGCGTGGACTTTGCTTGGAACAGCTAATAACTTGCTCAAGCTGTTTTTGTGGCATTACATTCCCCCAGTTGAAATTTTCACCACACAGGAAACCTGCAAGGCTCAGCCAGGTGCCTCTCTGGGAGCACGTGGGTCACAGTGACTCTCTGGAAGGCCTTTACAGGTGTCCGCACCGACTGTTGCCAGCCTCAAGTCCGAAGAGTTTCATGACTGTCTGTGTGTGTGTTCGTGCCTGTGTGTGTGCGCGTGCGTGAGCATGCCTCACTGTGCATGAGTGTGAGGTGTGTGCATGCACATGCATGACTTCAGGGATGACTACTTTAAAAAGTACAAGTAACCGCGTTGCTGTCTATGGGTTCTAGAAACCCCATAATGAAACTGTTTTCCACTGGGGGATAACGAGAACAGCAAATTTCACTTCAAAATAGTTTTCCTTTCTTTTTAATGCAGCTGACCAAGAAGTCATTGATATCACTGATGAGGACATTACTTCCTCTGGAACAGAAGGGCAACAGGCCAGGTGACATGGGTCATCGTTTACGCCCTCTCATAAATTTAGACGAGTCGGGCTGGGGCGGGCTGGTTCGGGCTCAGCCGGGCTCAGCGCAAGAGTGCCTGGTGTAGGAACACAAGATGCTGAGTTCAGATCCAAGGCACCCACAGAAAAAGCCATGCATGGCCAGGCACGCCTTTCTAAGCCCAGAACTGAGGGGAGAGGCAGTCCATCAGAGGCAGGAGGATTGCGAGTGTTTGCTGACTGCCAGCTGAACAACAACAACAACAAAAAAACTGAGGTCATTAGACAGACAGACAGACAGACAGACAGACCAAAAGCAAGGTGTGTGCACCGAATGAATGAATGTACTGGGTGCATCGAGCTTAAAGGCCTCAAAGCATTCACCCCGAAGTCAGTCAGTTGTTCAGTGTGATAAGAAATGAAAATCTCATGCCTCCAGCAAACTGCATACAGGTCCTGTCATAAAACCTGTCTGGCAGGAATAAGGTGGCCATGGAGAGAGCAGGACTCCGCACTTGTATCTCTGAGGTCGGCACAGGTGCACACGTGCCCTTCCTCTACACAGAAAGAAATCCAGGAAAAGTCAACACCTGCTCTGGAAATGTGAATTGCTTGTGGGCTCTGTGGCATGCTCCACTTCCTCCACTCACACCACAAAAAAATGGCCTTTTGTGTACCTTCAAGTAAAAAAAAAATAATAATGTGATTTCTTTGCAGGAAGGAAATACAGGATTTATTTGAAGAATTTGAAGGTATGTTCTAGGAGACATTAGGAATGTGAGAAAATCGTTTGACTCAAAGAAGTGCAAGGCGAGGGAGTTGTCCCTTGGTAGATAAGAGAAGTGTGGTTACTAGTGCCTCGTTTTCCGACACTCAGTGTCAAAATAGTATTTATTAGATCACCGTCTCTCTACTTGACGTTAATCATCGATACGGAGAGCATGGCACCTGCAGTGTAGTTGCTCCTATTTACTGCTCGCTGTGAGAAGTTCTAAAATTTGATGACATTATCTGTCTTCCAGGCTTTGATTCACACGAGTGCCATGCCTACTGTTAATACCAAACTTCTTTTTTAACCCCACTCGTTCATTTCCTAGCCTAACTCTTTATTTCTGCAGGTGGGCGTTGAGGGTTAACCCCTCTGAAATAGCTACCTACTGTTGTTTAATGTGCAAAAACAGCATATGCAGTAGCAAGCTGAAGTCAGTCAGCACTGCTAGCCTGTGACCGCTGTATGGTCAGACAGAGTCCTGCTTTAAACGGCTGTGTGAGACGTTCGTCACACAATCTATAAAAGCAAAAGTGGCTGGGATGCCTGCAGAGAATTTTGACAGTGAGTCATATCTAGAAGCTATTCAGGAATCAGGATAGAGATGTAGCTGAGTGGGAGAGCACTTACCAAGTATGCTTAAGGCTCTGGGTTCCTTCCCCAGTACCGCACCCTTGGACAACTCAGTGTGGTTCTCAACACGCCCCCCTCCCACACCCTCACCCTCACCTTGAAATTATTATTCAGGGTGGCTACCTTGTCAGATTTGTGTAAAACCTTCAATGCCTAAAGTAAATGGAGTATTTTCATCTCGCAGTGCGATAATCACTGGGTCTTTGGAGGTCTTTGTAAATCGTCTACATTTATGTTTTGCACAAAGTGGCCCAGCAGTACCTCTGAAAGGGTCCTTGAACTGGAGGGTATTTCGTACGTTCATTACATTTGTGCTTTACAGAAGAGGTCTCAGAGAATTTCCACAGTGACTCACAACCCTTCTTGTAAGTTTTGTTAAGACCCCATTCACTGTGTTTTGTATGTAATATGTGGACACTGACGTCCAGCTATCCAGTTTCACATCAGGCTTGTGAACCACTGAAATTCTTGCCTGAAAGGAAGGAGACAAATAATATTATCGTTGACAGATTACTTCCTTCTATTGATAACAAGTGTCTTTGAAGTTGAAAGCTGAGCGTGAGGGAACTTTACGGTAATGGTTCAAAGATTATATTTCAATACAGAGCCCATTAAGCACTTCCTTGAGGGGAACAGAGAAAGATTCACAGCGATCATCGCTGCCTCTTTCGAAACCATGGAGCAGAAAGTTGAGGATGTTCTCAAAAGACAGTGTGAACAAAGGTATGGCTGTTGCTTCTTGGTGCCTTGATCCCAGGCCCTTTTGACAGTTGGTTAGTAAGCATGATGGCAAGAGGGTGGAGAATAGCCGTGACTCTCCAGTGGCCAGAACCTCACCTGGAAAAAGTAAGGAGTAGGTTTTTCCCCTGCCGCTGGTAAAAGTAAGGAGTAGGTTTTCCCCCCGCTGCCGGTCTCGTCCCACTGTGGTGCCAGCCCCAAATTACACACAGAGAGTCTGTGTTTGATATAAAGCTGTTGGCCAGGTACTAGTTTCTTATCGGCTAGCTCTGTCTCAAGCACTAACCCATTTCTGTTAATCTAAGTACTTCCACGTGGTCTCATCTTACCTGAGAGAGAGAGGCCGCTGGCGTTCTGCTCTCCCTGTCTTCCATCTTGACTCCTCCTTACTCCTTCCTCTTTCCTTCCTCCGTGTATCTTGCTTTCCTATTGGCCAACAGTGCTTTATCCATTAACCAGTATGAGAAACATATTTACGGAATGACGTCTCCCATCAGGAAAATGTATTTGGCTTGCTGCTTTATCTGTACAGAATAGACGTCCTAGACTTCCTTTAGTCTTATTATACTCTCACATCACAACTGAAGTCAGCTGCGTTTGCTAGGTCTGATTTACAAAGACCGTGTTGAGGCATTGCAATTGATTAGGTGTAACAGTAACGAAAGTGTATGTATACATCGTATGATGAATGTGCTTGGCATGCTGAGCTGGAAATCCTCAAAGCGTTCCTCCTGCAGACAGCCAGTCATCTCTGCGATGTGATGGAAATGAAAAACCCCATGTCTTCAGTGTCCTGTAGCTTTCAGGAGCACTTTTTACTATGCTCCTGTACCGAAATCCTCCCGCGGCACATGGAGAGGAGGAGTGGGTAGGCCTGCACAGAATTCTCTGATGGTAGTGGGGGTGCGTGCCCTTTGGATCTGCTCTTCAGATAGAGGATTCTAACCAGAAGTTGTGCTTGTCACACTGACGGATAAATACTTGTGGAATGTGCTGGAAACAACAGTTCCTCCTGAGTTTTCTGTCTCTAAGGGACGGGAAGGGACTGCCGTCTCAGTCAGGGAGGAACAAATCCTGTTAGTGTAGGAGAAAGTAACCCACATCAGCTTCTTGTTCCCTGTCAGAGTATTGTAGATGACATTTCCTCGTCATCCATCGACAGCCTTAGTGAAGGTAAGGCAGTCGTGCGGTCAACGCACTTCCTTCATATTGCGATGGAATATCACACTGTTCATTACTATCATTCACAGGCAGAACCTTTATCAGGACTATTCACTTCAGATTATGAATTTGAGTAGGAAGCTATCCAAGGATGCAGATCAAGTCAAGAAACATGCAGAAAAACTCACTGTGAGTGTGGGGCTCAGCTTTGAAGGAACCCATTGTGTCAGCATCAGAAATAGCAGGGCTTCCTACAGCAAGTCTGGAGGGAAGAAAGGGACAGGGCAAGAGCTTGGGGAGACAGGAAGGTGGTTCCATGTGGCCAGGAGGGACTGGCTATCCCACCTCCATCCCCCCCCTCTTCGCCGGCCACCGGCTTGCTCCTTTTCAGGCAGAGAGACGGCAAGGTCAGTGATGAGTTAGGAGGCAGAATGGTGGGCGGAGGGTGGGGGGGATGAGCGGGCACTGCCCAGAGAGTGCAGGAGAAGGTATGGGCCTGTAAGCCCAGAGGGAGCCCTTCCTGATCCACAGTGTGCAGACAGGCATCAGGGGCAAGGGCCCCAACAGAGCCTTCTGACACAGTGATCAGAGATACAGAGTGAGAGCAGTCACTGTGTCTGTGGCCGAGCAGGTGGAGGCTTGGCTCTCACTGCGTCCAGTTCAGACGAGCCCACTCCCCGAGGAGAGGGACGTAAGGCCTCATGCCACGATGGACATGTGATGACTGACTCCCCTTTAACATGGGCATTTGAATGAGCTTTTGGGGACAAGTACTGGGCACGGGACAGTACCATCCTTGAGGGATCTTCCTTCCTGGTGGAGGATGGAGCTGCCCTCCTCCTGAAGACTCTGCCTTCCAAAGGTGGGGATGGGAGTGGGGGAGCAGAGGCTGGAATGCGGAGGGAGATGGAGACGCTGTCTAGTCCAGTGGTCAGGAGCATGGCCTCCCTCTGCAATCTCACCCGTTGGGGAGGCAGCCACAGTTCAGTGGCTTGCTCAATCAGACCAACTCGGGAAAAGAATTTGCCTCTGTGCCTCAGATTCCTAGGGAGTGAAAGGGGACATTCTTAAAAGTCCCTGTTTCATACAGTGGATAAAAGTATTCAGGTGTGTGTTCTTACACTGTTCCAGGACAGTATCTGAAGCAAGTGTGACAGAATCCTTCCCTGTTAACCATGATTCCTGGTGGCCGGGTGGAGGGGGGCGGCCTGCTCATACTGGAAAGGACAAAACGGAGCCGGTTTCCGTGTAGGGGGTGACAGGTGATCAGGACATCTCAGGCTAATTTCTGTAGAAAATAGAGTTCGCCAGCTATGGAGGCCTCTCGTGGGTGAGTTTTCAAGTCCTCGGATACTAATGGGAATGTTTCTGAATACCGTTTAGTAGGAATACGTTCCACTAATTCAATGAGCTTCACATTACTTAGGTTATTTTGTAGTATTAGGTAACTCTTGTAAACGTGGTAATTGTTTTGGTTGAAAGGAAGACTACATTTATTTCATTCTCTCTGTTGTGTATAAAGAATACACAGAGTCACATTTCTGTAAGATGTCTTTTATTTTTTCCTGAATTATTGTTACTTCTTTTACTGTCTTTGTAGACTATGTTTAAGGAGCAACGGATATTCATTCAGCAGACTCTGATTCTTCAGAAGAGTAGAATGGAAGAATTTAAGTCACTGTGTGAACAGTACTTGGAGGTCCGTTGTACATCCTGGGAAAGCAGCCTATGCCAGGGGGCATTGAACACTCTGGTATTATTTATGTTCTTTGGGTAACACCTTTGGAAAGTTACCCGTAAGCATCTTCCGGCATTTTCCTAATGGCATCACTGTAAAAAATGCGTTTTTACTTCTCGGATTCACTTGTGATTGGGAGAGTCACTCGAAGCAGGAGGAATTGCTGCCTTGGCCATTATTTCATCCACAGTGTTACAGGGCATTAATGCTTTTCAGATCATCTCTTCCTGTTTCATAGTGCGTTTTCCATCCTGTGTGTAGATAGGTGCACACAGGCACACACGGGTGTACTTGTCTTGTCTGTGGGTGTATTGGTGGAGGCCAGAAGTCAACTCTCCATCTTGTTTGTTTGTTTCCTTGTTTGTTTTTTTTTACAGAGGATCGCTTTCCGAACCTGTTACTCGCTCATCACTGTGGCTAGACTGGTGGTTCCCCACGTCCCTGGGGTGGCCTGCCCTACCTTACCCCAGATCAATGTGTCAACGTGCCTGGCTTTTAACATGTGTTACGGAGAGCTGGAGTTGGTTGTGGAGCAAGCTCTTTGCCCACTGAGCCTTCTTCCCCGACCCCACGACCCACTTTTATACATAGTGACAAGAATATACCACACTTGACCTTGCTTTCCTTCCTCAGTCTATTTTCATTTCTTTCCATTGGGTGACTGAAACATGGTTTTGTAGGGCCAATCAGAGTTGTAAGACAGCTTCCAGATGTAGCACTCAGGGAAAAAAAAATAAGTGGAAGACTGAGAGTATGTGACTTGTGAGTTACTGTCAGTAATGACCCCCCCCCCGTCTTTGTAAACACTTCCTAGGGACATTGACCTACGTTATCTGCAGGTTTACGCCTACTTACAAAAGCATTAAGCACTCGTTGTTCTGGTTTTTGTTCAGACTTGATATGAGCTGGCTCATTCAAGTTGCTGTTAAAATATTGTTCATCCAGAGTAATTAAGAGGGCCCCAAACGACCAAGGTGTAAGACTTCATCCCGTGCTTTCTTATGCTAGTCCCCTACGACACCCCCCACCACTGACAGGGTCTGTTCCTGCTGAAATGCCATGCTTCCTGCAGCCCAGTGTCCCAGAATCTTGGTTTCCCGTTGCAACGTTTAGGTCTCCGTGTTGTTCCCGTTTCTGTGTTTGTCACATCACCAGATCATAGAAGAGGTCCTGCCAAATTTTATAAACCCCCCGCCCCCGCCTCCACGGTATTTAACAAAACCATTTAGATGATGCCCGTGCTATTTCAATCAGTGATAAAGGGACTGTGGGGGTGCAAACCTTGAGTTTTAATTTCATGGTGTGCAGTGGTCATACATAGTACAGGGCAAGCTACCCCATCTCCAAGAGAAGCCTGTGAGTGGCAGTCAATGAGCTTCCGCATCACAGTCTCTGTGTTCGTTGGTGTTTGTTTGCTTTTCTTCATGCTGTTGGAGGAGAGGGATCCCGGGGCTCAGATATGCTAGGCAAGCACACTTCCCCCTGAGCCACCCCCATTGCTAATGCCTCAGGATTAAACGTTCAGCAGTGGGTGGAGGAGTGGCAATGTCTGTGTCTCTTTGGTAGGTGTTCCGGTCTTCACACTGTACACAGTGTATGCTTGTTTTATTTTTTTTAAATAGTTAAACCATGACTTTTGCAACATTTAGTCCCTTTTAAATGTTGCTGTTCATATTTGTAAACCCAGATGACCAGGCCTGATTTCTGCACATGTCTTTTCACTTCAGAAATTTCAGATCCTGAGGGATTCCAGGGGAGACTCTGTGGCTGAAGAACTGAGACACCTAATTGCCACCTTGGAAATAAAACTCCTGATGGTGAACGTAAGTACTGAGTCTTTCGTGTGGAAAATGAGGATGGATGGGCACTGTCTACTTTCAACCCAGTTAATATGTCCTTGTACTTAACAGCACCAGCAAGAGAGTGCTGCTGCTCAACAGTCTCTCCTGGATCTGTTATTCTCATGATACTCGGAAGAAACAGAAGTTCATACAAGGGGAGCGGTTGTCTCTTGGAACTTCGCTGGGTGGAGCTGCTTGACGTTTGCAGCTTCTACAATGACATCTTCTTGTGTTCTCCTGTTCCTAAAGATACCCCTTTAAGTTAAAATGCAAAGGGACCCAAGGATTTGTGTGACCGCAGTCCAACGTTGGCTGTAAGAACCCCAGTCCGCGGGTAATAATGGCGAGTTTTCCTTGGTAGCATCGTAACTAACGGCTAGCAGTGCATTGATGTCGATACACTGGGGTCTTGTACCTCGGCATCACTTTCCCAAATTAGAAGGCACAAGAGTGGTTCATCCTTGTCATTGTCAGAGAAATACTTAAAGAATACACACCACTCTTGCCTTTACATTCTGGTGTTAAATTTGTCCAGTCCTGGAGCCTATGGCACAGAACTTCCCAAAGGGAATGTGCCCTGTGTACTATACACAGAGCTTCCCAAAGAGAATGTGCCCTGTCTACTTTAAAAGACTGTGCCTCAGAATTACTTAAACTGGTAGAATTCTTTGAACCTTCCGAGTTAGAACGATGTGAGTAACGTGCCATGAGTTTGTGAAATAGCACTTTCAGACAAAATTGACAAGGTCTTTCTTTCCATCAAATGTGGTCTGCTATCAAATGCCATCTGCCTGTCACAATTAGAGTTGATCCTTAGCATGTATACAGCTCAGTCCCTCATGGTATGGGCATTTCATCGTTCGTATGGATAGGAGTAACTGAGAATGCTTTGTTTTTCAAATTTATTGTGCACGTAGTATGTGAACGTCAGTGATATAGGACATGTTCTGTACACTTAAAGCTCCTTCCCTGTGATTTCATGGATGTAGGTATAGCTCTACCTGACGTGGGAAGTCTTTACTTGGAAACATTTGATTTAATAAACGTGAAATTGTTTCAGAATTGCTGGGATGGGTCACTGAATTGCACCCTCCTGCTGACATCTCATGCCTTTTAAAACAGAAATGGTCCCATGCCTTTCCTCTCTCTCTCTCTCTCTCTCTCTCTCTCTCTCTCTCTCTCTCTCTCTCTCTCTCTCTCTCTCTCTCCTCAGACCTCTTAAGAGAGGAACCAGACCTCTTAACTTCTGAGTCCTATTTCTAGCCCCCCTCAAATTTTCTAAGCCCCTCTCTGTTCATTCCTGTTTCTCAATATAGTATCCTGGGAATTCCAAAATCTCTACGGCCAATTCTAGTCAACTAGACTTTGACTTGGCCCCATGATTCAAGGTGAACTGTATTACAACGGTTTCAGAGTGTGACCAGATATCCCACAACATTTCCTCCCTTTAAATAAAGAGGAAAGGTTTTGACCGTAACACAGCAAAACTATATACAATAAGAACAACTATCAGAAAAGGATTCCATTTATGATGTCCAGTCCATTTGTATTTGACAGAATTGGAGAAATTACTCTTCTATCTGTGTTTTAATAAAAAACAAAAACAAAACAGCTCGAGAGAGAAAGGTGCAATATGACAGAATTCAAGTGGAGGGATTCTTTATTAGGGATAGAGGCGTTGGCCTCTAGGGACAGGAGCAGCAGGAAAGACAGGCAGAGAGCGAGACAGAGACAGACAGGGAGGGAGAGACAGAGAGAGAGGGAGAGGGAGGGAGAAGGATGGGAGGTGGGCACGGACCTTTGAAAGGGGAACATACTGAATAGGCCCAGGTGAGGGCATATCTAGTGAGAACTCCAAAGGCAGGCCAGTCAAATGCCTAAATACCAACAATCTATACTATCTTGATGAGCCCAAAGTTTTATATCTTAACCACTTTCTATCATAACTTGTAATACCAAACTGAAAATATCTTTTTAGACCTTAAAATATTTTCTTAGACAATAAGCTTGTGTTTATGTCTCTCAATCATGTGAGCGTTACATCTCTTCTGAAGTTTCTTTTCTTAATGTGGTCACAAAGAAAATGGTATAGGTATCTAGTCTGCTATTTTATCAGAGACTCGAGAAGGATAAAATATTGCCTGGTTGAACAGGAAGTACAGAGAATACTTCTACCGAAACTACAGAAATGACAGACAGCTGGCTGCCTGGACAGTCACCCAAGGTTCCCCTGCATCATTGGGGCATCCATCTGTAGCCTACAGGCCTAGCATATCTGACAGACTTCTGTGTGAAGCAAGAATCTTGACGGTCTTCCCTTCCTTGTCATGGCAATGTTCGGCAGTCGCCTTCTTTTGTGTCTCGCTTGTGCAATTTGAACAGCACACTTTCAGCAGTTGAGGTAAGGGCTGTTTCTTGCCCAGTGCCTCACTTTACCACAGATGGAAGCAAACTCCATATTGTTACGAGAAGGTTTCTCCCGGCGGCCTGGTCCCACAGCCTCGCCAGCCGCAAATAGCACACAGAGAGTCTGTATTAGATATACAGCTGTTGACCTCTTACTATCGTTTCTTATTGCCTAGCTCCGTCTCCAGCCATTCAGAGGACTGTCCGGGGGTAATGTCCCTGCCATTACTAGGTAAAGTTTCACCCTTCTGGGAACTTTGTTGGAGCTGAAGCCTAGGCAGTTACAATTATAGTTTTCCTTAGTTGTGATAAAAAGATAAATTAGGTGTAGAAATTTAGACTCTCCAAGATGAGATAGATAATAGTGTATTTTCTCTAATTTTGCCAAATGCAAATGGACTGGGTGTTGTAACTGTAATTCTTCCATAATGACTGTTTTGCCACATATAATGGTATCATGTCGAAGTCAGGACCTTCCTCTTTGAAATGACAAAAATAAAAGGGGGAGGGGCATGCAGTGCAATAACCCTTTTGTACATCGCGGACATTTGTCCTTGCGATTGGTTTAATAAAGAAGCCGACTGGCCAGGCCAGTAACTGAACAGGGTAAAGTTAGGCGAGAGACCCAAACTGAGAATGCTGGGAAGGAGAAGCGTGGAGTCAGAAGTCACCACCCAGACGCAGAGGGAGCAGGAGGTGAACGTGCCACGCTAGTAAAGGTACTGCCACGTGGCAGAGCATGAAGCAGGAATATGGGTTATCTCAAAAGTGCTAGAGCTAGCTAGCTAGCAATAAGCCTGAGCTACTGGCCAAGCATTTGCAATTAATTAAGTCTCTGTGTGGTCATTTGGAAGCAGCTCCCGGGACGGGGAAACCTCTGCCTACCCACACTCCCATTGTTTCATGAAGGTGCCAGAAGGTACACTGTATAGTCAGCCAGAGGCGGGACCTTCAGGGTCTGGTAATGTGAAAGTGTACCCCATAGGAAAGCCAGGCGGCCTCGGTCTCTCCCCCATCCCCACTTCTTCTGCCATCACCGCCCTCTACCCCTTGGGGACACTGAATGTAAGAAAGCTACCAGCAGACCTTGTCTTGACCCGAAGCACAAACCATAACAAACCTGTTCTTTACAGTTAGTACCAACGGTGGTATTTATTGTCTCATCAGCAAAAGGAAACAGAGTCAGGCAGCACATGGGATTTATTGGTTTTGTACCACACACCCTACTGGCCAGTTATCAGGGGGCTTCATCGAATGGTGGTGTGACTCAGGCTTCAATAGGGTGACAACATGGGAAAACCACGTAGGGAATGGTGGAATGCTACCCTGCCGGATGCGCCCGGGCGTCCTAAACCAGTGTTCAAAATGACACCATCTTTCTGAAAGCAAAATGGGAGGACTGAGGAACCACAGAGAAGAGTGGAATTGGCCACTCACCATTTCACCTGATTCCGAGAAAGGAACCATTTCTTTGTGCGCCGGGTTACGTAGTTCGGTGACTCTAGTCTCCAAGGCAAGCATATTTAAGGGAGCACAAGGAATTAGATTTCTCAGGTCACGGAACTTTCATAAAGGCAGAGATAAGGGACTCTGGGTATTGGCTGGGAGGATAGATCTTGATTGCACGGGGGCAGTTGTGTTGTGTTTCACAACGAGAGCCATGCTAACCCCGGTTTGGAAACAGAGAACCTACCCCCAGAGACTTTGAGCAGTCTCTGTGCCCAAACCCCCGGATAATGCAAGCTTGCTGCAACCCGATAAAGGCAGGAGCACCAACAGGTCATCGTGTGTGTGTAGCTCAGAAGAAAGGCTTCCACCACCCAGTCAGGAAGGGCCCGTGCTAGCAGAGTGTGCAGAGAGTAAAAATGCGTCTGGAATGTACGAGATAGCATGACCATTCTGCTTACCAACTTAGTCCTCATGTTCAGGTACACAGACCGCATGACAATCATATTTCATGCCATCTGCTTTTTTCCTACTCCCTGCACTGTTGTGCTAATTTGTAAGGAAATCAAGGAACGATATATATTACGAGAGGGGTTATGACCAAATCGGAAAAATCCTCATAAGTTTCAAGGCAGAAACATTGCTCATCTCTTCTAAAAACTTCTCCGCGGTGCCAGACCCCGCCAGTTATGAAAGGAAAAAGGAAAGGAAAGGAAAGCAATATGCCAAAGCAACATCCGTCCTCCCGCGTTTATTGTCTCCACACTTCGAAGAGCCAGGAAAAGAAACCAAGGCAGCCAGCATCCAGCAACAGACCAACACATAAAGAAAGCAGATCGTTACACAGTGGAATCTCGTCCAGCCTTAAGGATGAAGTTACCTCGTGTGAGGCAGCTGGTTTGGACCGGGAGGGCACTAATTTATGCAATAAGCTAGGCACGCGCAGCTAAACTAGCTCGGTGTCCCTTTATGGAAACGAGAAAAGCAAAGGAAACAAACAAACGAGAAAAGGAAACCAAAACCCTAAACGAGGTCGCATCTTCCATCACCTGTCCCCAAAGATAAAACAAAGTGGCACCAGGAGGAAAGACTGTTTGGTTGGTTCAGGTGACTTATCAGACCCCCTGGCCCGAGGGAGAGAGGGTTTCCTGCAGAACGAGGTGAAGGAGGTGGTTCTGCTCAGCAGTCAGCAGCGGCCACATCTCCACCTGCAGCTTCTTGATGCCTTCCGTGTCCTTTTCGTGGGCAGCCATGACCAACGACTGCAAGAGCAAAAACAGTTCCTCAGGAAGCTGGCCGCTGCTATCCTGGCCCTGGCCGTGGCCGTCGAAAGCCTCCCAGGAGTACTTTTCCAGGGTCTGGGCATGCTCGGGTAGCAGCTTTGCGGGCGGCGGTTGCAGGAGCAGCAGCAGCAGCACGCGGGACACCTCGCACCTGACAAGGACGTCTGCGAAGGCACCGAGTGTGCCAGGAGAAGGGGCAGCAGAGCCTGGGGTGTGGTCCGGGAGCAGCGGGAGGGGGCGGGGGGCGGGGGGCGGGGTCGGGGTCGGGGCTGAGCCAGGTCGACTTGGCTGGGGTCCTGGCGGGGCTGGTTGGAGGCCAGGGGCAGGCGGCGAGGGCAGTGGCAGCTCGGGGTGCTGCACCGGGTGGCCTCCATGCTCCCGTGCCAGGCGCTGCATGCGTGTGAAGAGCGCCAGGGCGCCCGTGTAGTCGCGCGCCAGCAGCTGGCAGGAGGCCGCGTCGCCGAGCGCCTGCAGCGCAGCCAGTGGCATCAGGGGCAGGTGCAGCTGAGCGGCGCGCTGAAAGTGACCCGCGGCGGCGGCCGGCTGGCCCAGGGCGCGCAGCGCGGCGGCCAGCTCCAGGCACAGAGCGGCGGCGGCGGCCGGCTGGCCCAGCTCGAGGTGAAGCCGCACAGCCGCGCCCAGGGCGCTGGCGGCCGCCTGCAGAGGCTCGCCGTAGGCGGCCGGGCAGCCCAGGCGCTGGCGCGCGTCGCACTCCTGCCGCAGGAACAGTCGGGCGGCCTCGGTGAGGGCCAGCGTCTCCCCGGGCCCGTGGAAGAGTGCCTGCTGGCAGCGCGCCACAGCCAGCTGGCACCAGGCGGCGTAGGGCAGGCACTCCTGGGCGCGCAGCTCGCGGGCCAGCTGGGCGAACTGCTCCCCGGCTTCGGCCACGTTCGGCTTCCGCAGGAAGCGCTTCTTGAGCTTGTTGGACACCTGCCGGTAGCGGGCCAAGAAGTCCCCGGCCTCGGAGCCGGGCCACGCGGCGCCGCCCAGGGAGGACGCGGGGCCCGCCGCCATGATCGCCGGCCGGCCGCGCCTCCTGACTTCCGGCTGGGGTGCGCGGACCAAAGCAGCCGCGGCGGCCTCAAAGCCTGCCCGGCGCTTCCTCCCCACTGCGATCACGCCGCGTCATCCCGGCTTCCGCCTTAGGCGCCCCAGGGCTCCCGGCGCCGCACCCGTTGCCACGGTGACGAGCAGGGCGGGGCTGGAGGCTGGAGGACCAGACGCCCGCCAAGCCTGTCAGAAGAGGAGGGCGGGGTCCCGGCAGGCCGCGGCGGCGGCAGGCCCCGTATGTAAATGAGGCTCTGGGGGCGGGGCCTGATGACGCGTCGAGAGGTGGGGGCGAGGCCGCCGAGTAGACGAGTCCGGCGGGGCGGGGCCAAGCGCCCAGACGCTGCTAATCACCTGCACCAACCCGAGGGAGAGCGGGCTTCTGCCCGGGGAGGGGGGGGGAGGAGGGGCACAACTCACCCTGACTGGGCAGGAAGGAGCCTGAGCTCGCTGACAGCTCATGGATAACCACGGCCAGGGCTACCTCCTGGCGGACATATCATGCCCATCACCCAGGGATGAACAAGGAGCCGCAATCAATCCTCCACCACACTAGTCCCCACACGCCACGGTTCCTGCCACAACAGCAGGCCTCACCAAAAGGCCGCCTTGGCACGTGGGTCCCCTCTGGAAGGCCGGCATTCTGACGCAGTGCCCAGGCTGACCCACCGGCCTGGGGTCCAAGTCCTGTGCCCCTGGGCAGGTGCTCATTGTCTCCCCGCAGAGTGGCATTGCCTCCACCACCACCCCACCTCCTCCCCTCCACACCTGCACCCCCAAACACCACTGTGTGCCTGCAAGTAATACCACCTTGCTCTCCTCCTCCCGGGCCCTCCACGCCCGTCTCAAGGCCGAAGGAAGGAAAACCTAGGGGAACCACAATGTGGGACACCCGCACTGCACTGTACTTTTTCCGTCCCAAACATCGTGATCATCCGACCGGGCCCGCCTCAGCCTCTGCCTCCACACTGCCACACTCACACCTAAACCGTCGCCGCCAAGGGGGAAGCTTGGGAAACCAGCCTGTACGTCTAGCCACAGCAAACCAGTAGTCCCAGAGCCTGTGTTCCTGCAATGAGGCCATCCTCAGTGTCTGCCTCTGCTTCCAGACTCACACACAACCCACAACCAAAGGGACAGCTCGGAGGAGGGCAGCCTGTGGGTCACCTGCAGCCCAGGACTAGAACTGCACCCTGTGTTGCCCCAATGAGGCCCCTCCTCAGCCTCAGCCTCAGCCTCAGCCTCAGCCTCAGCCTCTGCCTCCATAGCCACACTCACACCCCTCCCATGGCCACAGGAACAGCTCAGGAGGCCAGCCTGAGGGACATCGGTAAACCGGTAGTGGAAATGCACCCCGTGTTCCTCCAACGAGGGCCTCCTAAGTCTCAGCCTCAGCTAAAGGCTGGGCCTCCACAGACATCCGCCCACCATCCCCATGGCCACAGGAACAGCTCGGGAGGCCAGCCTGTGGGTCACATGTAGACCAGTGCTAGAACTGCACCCTGGGTTGATTCAAATATGCCCCCCATGCTCTCAGCCCCTGCCTCCAACGCCATCCTCACACCTAAACCATCGCCAAGGGAAAACAGCCTGTGGATCTAGCCCACTGACGGACCAGTCCCGAAGCCTGTGTTGCTGCAAGGGAGGCGCTCCCCAGTGTCTACCTCGGCTTCCACACTTCCACACTTCCACTCAACCCACACCACAGGAACAGCTGGGAGGCCAGCCCGTGGGTGATTTGCACCACAGTAGTCAAAGTGCACCCTGTGTTCCTCCAACAAGGCCCTCCTCTGCCTCTGCCTCTGCCTCTGCCTTCAGAGCCACCCTCACACCTAGGCCATGAACGCAGAAACAGCTTGGGGGGGCTAGCCTGTGGGTTACCTCCAATCAGTACTAGGACTGCACCCTGTATTCCTCCAATGAGTCACTCATCAGCCACAGCCTCTGCCTCCACAGCCACACTCACCCCCCCACCCCCATGGCCACAGGAAGACCTTGGGAGGCCAGACTGGGAAACCTGCAGCCCAGGACTAGAACTGCACCCTGTGTACCTCCAACGGGGCCCACTTCACCAAAGCCTCTGCCACCCCAGCCACACTCACACCCACCCCATGGCCACAGGAACAGATAGGGAGGCCAGCCTCTGGGTCACCCGCCCCCCAAGCACTGTACCACCAGCTGTATTTTTTTCAACTAGGGCCCTTGAGCCTCTACCTCCATAAACAGGCTCATATGCACCCCATGGCCTCAGGAACAGTGTGGGAGGCCAGCCTGTGGGTCACCTGGAGACCAGTACTAGAACTGAACGCTGTGTTGGTTCAAATATGGCCTCCCCGGCCTCAGGCTCTGCTTCCAATGCCATCCTCACACCTAACCCGTCCCCAAGGGGGAAAGCTTGGGAAACCAGCCTGTGGATGTTTTCCACTGACAGACCAGTCCCGAAGCCTGTGTCCCTGCAAGGAGGACCTCAACAGTGTGTGCCTCTGCTTCCAGAATCATACACCAACCACATGCAAAGGTACAGCTTGGAAAGCCAGCCCATGGTGCTCCTACAGCTTCTGCATCCACAACCAACCTCACACACCCCATGGCCACAGGAAGAGATAGGGAGGCCAGCCTGTGGGTCACCTGCACCCGAACAACTCTCCTGCCAGCTGTATTTTTCCAATTAGGGCCTCATGAGCCTGTATCTCCATGGGCACGCTCACATCAACCCCATGACCCCAGGAACAGCTGGGGAGGACAGCCTGTTGGTCACATGCAGACCAGTAGTAGAATTGCACCCTGTGTTGTTTTATTGAGGGCCTCCTCAGCTTCAGTCTCAGCCTGTGACACCCCAGCCACACTCACACCCACCCCATGGCCACAGGAACAGTTGGCAGGCCAGCCTGTGGCTCACCTGCACCCCTACAATGTTTCCACCAGCTGTGTTTTTCCAACTAGGGCCTCCTCAGGACCTCTACATTTATAGCCACACTCACACCCAACCCATGGCCTCAGGAACAGCTTGGGAGGCCAGCCCATGGGTCACCTGCATCCCAGTACTAGAACTGTAACCTGTGTTCCTCCAAGGAGGTCTTCCTCAGGCTCAGCTTCAGCCTGTTCCACCTGAGCCACCCTGAAAACCCACCCCGTGGCCACAGAAAGAGCTTGGGAGCCCCGATTGTGGGTCACCTGCAGCCCAGTACTAGAACTGCAACCTGGGTTCCTACAATGGTGACCACCTCAGCCTCTTACTCCACATCCACCCTCACACCCACCCCATGGCCACAGACACAGCTTGGGAGGCCAGCCCGTGGATCACCTGCAGCCCAGTACTGAAATTGCACCCTCTGTTCCTCCAACACTACACTCCTCAGCCCTACCCTGTGCCTTCACAGCCACACTTACACCCACCCAATGGCCAAAGGAAAAAGTTGGGAGGCCAGCCTGTGGGTCACCTGCAGACCAGGTTTAGAACTGCATCCTGTGTTGCTCCAAGGAGGCCTCCCTCAGGCTCAGCTTCTGCATCTACAACCAACCTCACACACAAGTTATAGCCACAGAAATAGCTTGGGAGACCAGCCTGTGGGTCACCTGCAACCGAACAACTCTCCTACCAGCGGTATTTTTCCAACTAGGGCCTCGTGAGCCTATATCTCCATGGGCACGCTCACATCAACCCCATGACCCCAGGAACAGCCGGGGAGGACAGCCTGTGGGCCACATGCAGGCCAGTAGTAGAATTGTAACCCTGTGTTCTTTATTGAGGGCCACAGCCTCATCCTCAGCCTCAGCCTGTTCCTCCAAAGCCACCCTCACACCCACCCCATGGCCACAGCAACAGAATTGGAGGCCAGCCCGTGGATCACCTGAATCCCAACACCACTCACAATAACTGCATTTTTCCAATGAGGGCCTCCTCAGGCTTGCCTCTGCCTCCACAGCCACCCTCACAATGTCCCCATGGACACTGCAAGAGCCTGGGATGCCAGCCTGTGGGTCACCTGCGCCCCAACAACTCTCCCACCAGCTGTATTTCTCCAACTAGGGCCTCGTGAGCCTATATCTCCATGGGCACGCTCACATCAACCCCATGACCCCAGGAACAGCCGGGGAGGACAGCCTGTGCGTCACCTGCACCCCAAAACGGCTCAACCAGCTGGGTTTTTCCAGTTAGGGCCTCCTCAGCCTCTACATCCATAGTGACACTCACACCCAACCCATGGACCCAGGAACAGCTTGGGAGGCCAGCTTGTGGGTCACCTCCACCCAATTACTAGAACTGCACCCTGTGTTCCTCCAAGGAGGGCCTCCACAGGCTCAGCTACTGCCTCCACAACCAACCTGACACCAACCTCACTGAACAGAAACAGCATTGGAGGCCAGCCTGTTGGTCAAATGCACCCCAGTACCAGAAGTGCACCCTGTGTTCTGCTACCGCGGCACACCTCAGCCTCTGCCTCTGCCTCCACAGCCACCCTTGGCAGGCCAGCCCGTGGATCATCTGCAGCCCAGTACTCGAATTGCACCCTCTGTTCCTCCAACACTACCCTCCTCATTCTCACCCTCTGCCTGTGCAGCCAACATCACACCCACGTCATGGCCTCAGGAACAGCTTGGGAGGCCAGCCCCTGGATCACCTGCATCCCAACACGGCTCACAAGTGTGTTTTTCCAATGAGGCCATCCTCAGGCTTGCCTCTGCCTACACAGCCACCCTCACACTGCCCCCATGGACAAAGCAAGAGCCTGGGATGCCAGTCCTGTGGGTCACCTGCACCCCAACAACTCTCCCACCAGATGTATTTTTCCAACTTGTGCCTCGTGAGCCTCTACCTCCATAAGCACACTCACACCTAACCCATGACCCCAGGAACAGCGTGGGAGGCCAGCCTGTGGGTCACCTGCAGCCTAGTAATAGAACTGCACCCATTGTTCCTCCAATGAGGGGCTTCTCAACATCTGCCCCCACAGGCACCCTCACACACACACATCCCACAAGCCCAGGAAGATCTTGGCAGTTCAGCCTGTGTGTCAACTGCACCCAAGTACCAGAATTGCATCCTGTGTTCCGCTATTGCAGCGCTTCTCAGCCTCAGCCTCAGCCTCTGCCTCCGCAGCCTCCCATACACCAACCCCATGGCCACAGGAACAGCTTGGGAGCCCAGCCTGTGGGTCACCTGAACCCCACCACTGCTCCCACCAGCTGTGTTTTTCCAACTAGGGCCTCCTCATCCTCTGCCTCTGTAACCACACTCACACCCACCCCATGGCCACAGGAACAACTTGGGAGTCCAGCCTGTGGGTCACCTGCACCTCAGTTCTGGAACTTAAACCTGTGTTTCTCCAACGAGGCCCTCCTCGGCCTCATCCTCAGTTCCTGCCTCTACAGCCACCCCCACAACCCGTCATGGCCACAGGAAGAGCTTGGGAACCCAGCCTGTGGGTCACCTGCAGCCCAGGACCAGTCCCAACCCCCTCCCCGGCGTGCCTCCAACTAGGCCCACCTGATCCTTTGTCTGCCTCTACTTCTGCCTCTGCCTCCACCGCACACGCACACCCACCCGCATCCCCTACCCAGAGGAAAAGCAAGGGAAGCAAAGCTATGGGATTCTGGAACTAAAGCTTTAATAAGAACACAGCCGGGAGCAGGAAGGGACGAGGCTGGCCAGCCATGCAGGGCTGCCTGTCTCTGAGAAGGTTTGGGCGGGATGGACTGATGATGCGGGATGGATCGATGGATGGGTTGCATAGGCCAGCCAGCAACCCAGAGCCAGGCAACAGCAGCAGCAGCAGCAGCAGCAGCAGCAGCAGGAGCGGCAGCAGGAGCAGGAGCGGCAGCAGCAGCAGGAGCGGCGGCAGCAGCAGGAGCAGGAGCAGCGGCGGCAGAGGCAGCACGGACGGCGGCTGCAGGTGGCAGCTAGCGTTGACGTCGACGACTACGACGAGGACGAACTTCTGGGGCCACCTGGGAGATGGTGGTGGACTGGAACAGCTCGCTGAGAAGTCTGTTGTTGTAGATGGTCAAGTCCAGCAGTTCCGGGGTGATGAGCCTCTGGGCGCCTCGCCGTTGGGCCTCATTGCTTGCCAGCTCCAGCAGCCTGCGCGTCAGGAACTCCAGGATGGCGGTCAGCAAGATGGGCACGGTCTGGCTCAGCCGCCGGGCATGGCCGCTCTCACGAAGAAGGCGCTCCACCAGGCTCACAGAGAAGGTCAGCTCGGCTCTGTCGGTGCGGGAGCGGCGGGACGACGGCCCTCGACGGCTGCTCTGCCTGGTCCTGGGCATGCTGGCCTCGGAGTGCAGTGCGGGGTGCGACCCCACAGGCTGGCTGGGCGCTGGCCCTCTGGGCTCTGGGCCTCCTCGCGGATCCCAACGGTCCGGTCCCCGCTGTGCCTGGCAGCAGATGGATCCTGGCGACCCCTCGCGCGCGCACGCAGCCCGCCCTCGGGCGCTCCGTTCCCGCTCTCACTGATGACGTGTGAGGGGTGATGCTCCCAAGCCGCCCTCGCTAGGGGGCGCTGTGCTCACCTTCACACCTTGCCTTCTAGAAGGGGCCCTCTAGGAAAGAGCAAGGTCGTGAGGGAGGGAGCAACTCGGCGGTGCCGTCCACAACCAAGCCGTTCACAACCCTCGGCTCCAGAGGTACTTGCACCCACGAGCCTGCCCACTGAGCACGAGCTCCTCGTCCCTCCACCCCCAGCACCCCAGGCACCACGCACGGTAAAGCTGAGAGGTTCTCCCCTCTCATTTCCGGGGCCTCAAACTCAGAGTCCCAAGCGTCCCGAGCAAACCCAGGGCTACAGCTTTCCCAGTCCCTGGGGCCCCTTAGCCACTGCTCTGCTTTCTGCCCCATCAGCTCACGTCGGAGTTGAGCAGCTCCTGTAGGCGGACTCATCCGGCAAACTGTGGCCTCCGGAGTGCGCCTGTGTCTGCCTGTTAGCATCACTTCGCATCCTGGATTCATGATGCCTCGCACACAGTACACCCGTCCCTCGTGTCTCACCTCACCTACATAGCGGCTTGAAGCAGTGCCCCTCCGCTCCTTTCTGTAAACCTTACAGCCCCCCGGTGGCAAAGTATTCTGGCACTCGCGAGCCACAGAACACTAAGTGTTACAGCTCCGATGGGAAAGAAGTCTGGCACTCGGGAGCCAAGCAACACCACAGCGCAACAGCTTACAGCCCTGCTCCAGGGAAAGGCTTCCCCCATGTCAGAGCTCTGCGCAGGCAGGGGTGGGCTTCCCCAGCAAAGGGGTGGCAATTCGCCTCCAGTCCCCCAGACCCTAACGCCTCCGGTTCGCTAGGGGAAGGTTTCACCGGTGAAAGTGTCACACAGCCCTGCTCCGCTCTGCCCAGGCTCCCTCTCTGCTCCGGTGAAGAGAGGTCGTCACCCCAAACCTCATTCAGGAGATTTTTTTGGGGGGGAGGGGAGGAATCCAGGAGAGTGGTTGCCCTCCGCCAGGGTGGAACAACACAGGCAGCCGCGAACTGAACAGGCACAGGGCTTCTTACATAGGGCTTCTTAGGGGCAGAGTTGTTCCAGGGAGGAGATTTCCAGGATGGGGATGGGTCAGGTTTCAGTCCCTGAACTCACACTGGCTAGGTCTGTCTCCTGCTCAGGGATGGGTTGGTTTTCTGCTCAGGGCCAGGGGCAGATTTGGCTCTGGTTTCAGGGCCAAAGTGTGTGTTCCTCTCACTGGTCCCTTTTAGCGTTTTGGCTCTCATTTTTAGGCTCAGGGCGTATTTCTTTCCCTGGCTCTGATTCGAGGGACAAAGTGTGTTTCCTTGGCGCTGGTTTCAGGGTCCGGCTGTGTTTCCTTGGCTGACCCCTTGCCCCTACACTACACTCACCACACCCAAGCAGTAGGCCACTGTACATGCACAGGTGAGTAATTAATTTACTTATTCCCTCATCTGCTGATTGGCACTTGGGTGGCCTCCACCTTTTGAAAACAACAGGAAGATTTCACATTCTTGTTAGGTGGAATCAGAGCTCGATATCTACCAAGCTGTCAAAAGAGTATTTTCCAAAGAAAGCATTCCGTTAGGAAAAGAAAGTGGGAGGGGGGTTGTCCAGTAGAGGGCAAGCAAAAGAAAGCATGGGCGCCTGGTCACGTCCCTGCGAGGCCCGGCCTGCCACCATGCTTCTTGCCGTGATGATGATGATGATGAAGATGATGATGAAGATGATGATAATGACGATGACGATGATGATAATGATAGGCTACACCTTTTAAACTGTAAGCCAGTCCCCAACTAAATGTTTTCTCTTATGAGAGCTGTCCCCAGAGGCCAGTCTGTGGTGACATCTTGCTTGTACAGACAAATCCTGCCTGCCCTGGGAAGGACAAAAGGCAGTTGGGTCTCTACAAGACACCAGACACGCAGTCAGGCGTAGGCCAACAAAGAACTGAACGTCCAAACTAAGAGCTGAAGACATTAATTAGAAAGTAGGTGTTTATGGCTTTATTATGCGTTATTGTGGCTGTGTATGCTTTATTAAATAAAGGAGAGCAGCCATGAAGATATACGTAAAAAGCGCTTCTTCAGATTTGCCAGGCACACAACTTCTTTGATATTTTGTTGTTGTTAGCTTTGTTTAATTCAAAGCATTTCCCATGTATTCTGTTTGGTTACAGGGATCCAATGTGGAGCATATACAATAACAAATCAGAGGAACGCTGAGTTAGAAATAGTGGGAGTGGGTGAATAGGAAAGTACCCGCTTTGTTAGGTAGTCATATAAGGTACGCATCCTTTCAAGAACCTCGAGAATTAAACTCTATTGTTTCCTTAATTTTGCAGGAATCATAACAGGGACTTATAAAAGGCTTACAGGCACAAGCATAAAAGATAGAGTGTAGACCAACATGGATTGGGACTAAAATATAAAAGACCCCCAAACGGGATGAGGGTCCAGGGGTGGTGGCGGGGGGGGGGGGCACTGTAACACGTACCCTTTAGTGTTTTGGGCTTCCTCTAATACTTTATCCTGTTACTTACACTGATTAACATGGCCTCAAGGAAGTGAATATTTGGGACCAGAAACAAACAAACAAACAAACAAACAGCAAAACCAAAATCCAAAAACAAAAAACAAAACAAACAAAAAAAAAATCTCTCCCTGTGGGCTAATGAATTAATTGCTAATTTCAGGATTACTATTAAGGCTAAGGGACCTCAGACAGTGGAACCAGATGTATTCCTGGTGCACAAAGGACCTTGGGGACACATCCCCCCATGGAGGGATAACTGCCTTAACCTAGAGACAGGAGAGAAGTCCTAGTCCCTACTTCACATGACCTGTCAGATCTACATGACCCCAACTTGATGACATTCCCCTACATATGGAATTGGGGTGGGGGGATGGGAGGGAGGGTGGTCAGGGTGCATGTGAGGGGGCAGAGCAGGTAAAAGGGAGGGAAGGAGGGAGGGAGGGCGAACTGGGATCGACATGTACAATAATAAATAAATACATGAATACTAAATAAAAAGATTACTATTAAGGAAGGTGTTAAATTCTGTGAATCAGAAACATACCACAAGTAAATGGAGTTAATTATTATTTTCATTTCATCATGCCTTTGCGTGATGAAGGATAATAATTTCTCCACTTCAGTAATGCTGATGCTTAAAATGCTTAATTAAAGTCAGACCTACTTTGGTTCCTAGGGAAAACAGACTTTGTGTTTTAAACAATAAAATATAATACGGTAAAAACAGAAAGCTGACACAGCCGTATCGGACAACACAAACAGAAGGAAAAGAGCCCAAGAAGTGGCCACAGGCATCGGGAACCCACTTGTTTGAACATTCGGGACTCTCACAAAGACACCGAACTGGAAGCCATACACGGAGGGCCTGGTGCAGACCCTTGCAGGCCCTGTGTATCCTGCCTCCGTCTCTATGAGTTCAGATAAGATCTGAACGTCCTTCATTTGGAGGGTCTCGTTTTCTTGGGGTCCTCCATCCCCACTTGCTTAAACTCTTGCTGCCTCCTCTTTCACAGAGTTCCCTGAGTCCTGAGGGGTGGGATTTGATGGATGCATCCCATTTTAGCGCTGCGTGCTCCGTGGTCTCTGGCTCCCTGCATAATGTCTGTCTGTGGGTCTCTGTACTTGTTCCCATCTGCTGCCGAAGGAGGCTTCCGCGATGAGGGTCGAGCAAGGCACACATCTGTGAGTAGAGCAGAATGTCATTAGGAGACATTTTATTGCTACGTACTTGGCTTTGTGGGAATTTTTGTTTTGTTTTGATTGTTTGTTTTAGAGCAGTAGCACTGTGCTCCCAAGTCTCAGGCTCTTGGTCACCCAAGCAGTGCCAGGTCTCAATCTCGATGACTGGGCCTTAAATCAGGTATTGTTTTGTAACTCCCACAGGCTTTGTGTGGACTTTGCCCTAGCATGTCTCGCAGGCAGGACAGCATTAGAGATCAAAGCGTTTGTGGCTGGCTTGGTGTGCAGAGTACCTACCTTCCTGTACCAAAGGCACCAGAACCTTGGAGTGGAGGCTCGGTGTCGGTACCAGCTCAGCTCGACTTCTCCATGTTCAATGAGTTGTGTAGGTATTTTCCTAAGCAGTGGGGGCTTGCCCTCAGTTTGTGGAGAGCAACCTCTTTCGACCCTTGGCAACAGCCTGGGTTGTTTGGGGGGAAATCCACGGGAACCTTTTGGGCAAAACCACACTTAGATGTAACCCAATCCTCGTGCTGCAACCTTCATTTGGTGACAAGAGATGGCCAGTTGGGTCTCGTCTCCCACATTATTCTGGTGATTTCATTTAGATTGTCTTCATGTATGTATGTGTTTTTGGAAGCTTCGACTCTCTTAGGTTTCCATACTACCCCTCAAATGGTCCTTAATCTTAGCTCTCTCCCCCCATATCACCCCCACTCCCCCCACACACACTTAATCCTCCCATTCCAGTCCCCGAATCCTTCCATAACCATCTATTCTATTTGCCTTTCCTAAGGAGGTATGTCTGCCCCAACCCCGGTCCCTTACTCTCTACCTCAGATCTGTGGTTCTGTGGGTTATAGCTTGGCTTTTCATTGACTTATTATATAGCATCAATCCACATATAACTGAATACATACCATATATCTCCCTCTCAGCCTGGGATACCTCACTCAGGATTTCTTTTTTCTTCCTTCCTTCCTTCCTTCCTTCCTTCCTTCCTTCCTTTCTCTCTTTTCCTTTCTTTTCCTTCCTTTCTTTCTTTTTCTTTTTCCTAGCTCCATGAATTTACCCATGATTTTCATGCTGTGGTGTTTTAAGAGGCCGAGTCGTATCGTACTCCATTGTGCAAATGTACTACATTTTCTTTATCCGTCATCATTTGGTTGAGTGACATCTAGGTTGTTTCTGATTTCTGGCTATCGTGAATAGAGCAGCAACAAACGTGGTTGAGCAAGTGTCTCTGTGGGAGGACGAAACGTCTTTTTGGGTCTATGCGCAAGGTGGTATAGCTGGATCTTGAAGTAAATCAATTCCCATCTCCCCTGGGAACTGGCACACAGATTTCCATAGTGGCTGTACAAGTTTGCGCTCCACCAGCAGTGGAGGAGTGTTCCCCTTGCTCCACGTCCCCTCCAGCATGGGCTGTCACTTGTGTTTTTCACCTTAGTCGTTGGGACAGGTGGAATGTCAGAGTCGTTTTGATTTGCATTTCCCTGACGGCCAAGGGTGTTGAACATTTCTTCAAGTGTTTCTCTGCCGTTTGAGATTCCTCTTTTGAGAATTCTCTGTTTAGAACTGTGCCACCGGGTAATTTGTTTGCTTGGTGGCTAGTTTCTATGCGTTCTTTATTTCTACATTTAGACTATTAGCCCTGTATTGGATGGGCACACAGACTTCTAAAACTGAAGGTGGGTCAATCCATCCACATCACTGCGATTTTAACATAAAGGGAGAACAAGTGAGCAGCAACCATAAAAGAATAAACAATTCAAACGTTATTAGTGGCTGGACAATGGACTGTAAATAGACTGTAAGGAGCTACCATTCTGCAAATCTGAGAGTGACGGCTTTAACATATGCTACTGCGTGATGTATTGGTGAGTATATGTAACAAGGGGAATCCCACCTGCTGTCATAGAATAATTGAGGCGTTTCTGAATATTAAAGTCTGATTTGCTTGCCTATGAATGACCCGTCAACTCTACTTGTTTATGTGCTGTAAACCGTTTGTCATATGAGCCAGGTGACAAGATTATTGGTGCTGTCATTACCCAGGGGGGCTGGAACCAGAAAGTAAGTGGGAAATCTACAGACACGAAACGGAATACTCTGAGGAGTTCCAACGGTGAGGTGATACAGGCTAGCAGAAGGAACATGTGAACCTTATCAAACTGTCCAGAGGCCGGTTCGGATGCAAGGTTGAACGTATGCAGGGGTTGGGGGTACAAAGTAGGTGTTACATAAAAATATTAATGCTGCTGCTGGGAAAGTTAGGGATCAGGGGAAGAAGAGGGTGCAGAATAGATGCAACCCCATACACAGAATCGGGCGAGCCTGTTTCCCACAAGTAACCAGTGCCTTTCCTTTCTTTATTAAAAAAAATTCATTAATAAATAAATAAAACTAAAAAAGTATTTATTTTTTTCATGCGTATGTATGTGTGCCTGGGCTTATGTGTGTGCACCAGATGCTCATATGTATGAAGGGAGCTTCGGAGGTCAGAAGAGCCACGAATCCCCTGCTACTGGAGTCCAGGGATTGTGAGCCCTCGTGTGGGTGCCGGGAACTGAACCCCCCCCCGAGCTATGTAGGAGCTGCAAGTGCTCTTAACTACTGGGTCATCTCTCCACGTAGGAACGGAATATTTAAAGACAGGAGGACTAAGGGGAAAGCCATTCCTCCGCTGGGAAGTGTGGATTGAGGGAGGACGTAAGAGACAAGTACTGCCGGCCCACTTATCGGTGCTGAAGGAAGTTTGGGCCTTGCGCTAGTCTCGTTCTCCCTCGTCCCTGGATCATTGGCTAAGCGGAGGCTCAGTGAAGACGCCTTGGGGAGAGAGGCTGCTGGCAGCCAGCACTCAAGGCTACAGCAGTAATTCCCATAGCCTCCACGGGCCAGAGGGTTTGAGCAGGCGGGGGTTAAACCGGGCGCACGAGCATGCGCACTGCCCCGGCCAATCAGCGAGGCCCGTGACCAGCCTCCCGGCCAATCAGAGAGGCCCGTGCCCCGGAAGGCGGGGCCTGAGCCAGTAGCGCCTATTTTAGCGGGAGGAACGCACCCGGGAGGCTCTGAGCTCTGAGGAGGCAGAGTGAGGCTGTGTCAGCAGGTGGTGACTCCCAAGTCCCCAGACCCGTGGTAAAGGACTCTGTGGTAAAGCTCCAGCGGTGGCGAAGCGAGGCTGAGGTTTCCTGAATGCTGCCGAGGGAGGAGATTGGGGACTGGGAGGAGGGGGAACCAGGTTGACTCGTGAGGCGATATTCTGGAGTTGTCTCCCTGGGACCTGGCCCAGGACAAGACCCCTGGCGGTGGTTGAGGGAGGGGACCTGAGGGCTGAGGTCCCGGGAGGGGCCAGGCAGGACAGTGTGCAGGGTGGCGGGTGAAGTGAGTACTGTTGGCAGCCCTGCGCTGTCACTAGCTGTCATGGCTGTCTCGGTGTCGCGGGGTGTCCCATGGCTGCCTCGGTGTCCCGGGTTGTCCCATAGCTGTCTCGGTGTACCGGGGCGTCCCATGGCTGCCTCGGTGTCGCGGGGTGTCCCTTGTCTGTCTCAGTGATGGGAGATGTCATTATGTAAGTATGTTTCTCATGCTGGTTACTGAATAAAGCACTGTTGGTCAATAGGAAAGGAAGATAGGTGTTCCCGGGTGTCCCATGGCTGTCTCGGTGTCCCGGGGTTTCCCATGGCTGTCTCGGTGTCCCGGGGTGTCCCATGGCTGCCTCGGTGTCCCGGGGGTGTCCCATGGCTGCCTCGGTGTCCCGGGGTGTCCCATGGCTGTCTCGGTGTCCCGGGGCGTCCCATGGCTGCCTCGGTGTCCCGGGGTGCTCCTAGAGAGTCTGTTCGGTGAATGAATGGGACTCTCACTCAGAAGTGCTGCCCTAGAGACAGAAACAGTTCTGCATGCGGAAGCGCTGGGTGAACTAGTCTTTCTGACCAGAAGCCAGCACCAGATACAGGATGAGGACAGGGTGGGGGTGGGACTCTCCTGAGCAGTGGGGAGCAGACAAGACTTTAGTTTGGGGGTGAATGGCGGGGTAACACCCCATTTTATCCTGGACATAGAAAGGATTGGGACTGAGGGGGTGTGTGACAGGCCACAGAGCCATTTCCTTTGTGGATGTTGCTTGGTTGGTTGGTTGCTTGCTTGCTTGCTTGGTTAGTTTTTCCTAGAGTCCCTTCCTGCACTGGGACAAGTGGAAGCTACCCATTTTATGTTGGATACAGGAAGAATGAGACTCGGAGTGTGTGTGTGTGTGTGTGTGTGTGTGTGTGTGTGTGTGTGTGTGTAGGGGCGGTAGTTAAAACAGGCACCAGCCATCTTCTTTCTGCTGGTCCCTTCCTAGTCCTCTAGCACATGTGGAAAGGACACCAGGCCCAACTCCGTGGAAACCTGATACCTGTCCTTGCGGCTTTCATTTAACTCTTCCTTTAATGTGCCTTTAAACACACAATGTTCAGGACTCCTGTGTATCACAGGGAGGCTGCAGTCATGGCACCCAAGATCAAGAGAAAACCTCCTAAGCAATCGAAGGTGACTCCTGATCCACCATCTGATGATTCACAGGAGCTACGTGAAAATAATCCACCTGAAAATAACCCAGGTGAAATGGGACTGGGGAGGGCTGAGAATGTAGTTCAGTTGGTAAAGTGTTTGTTGGCCTAGTGTACAAGAAACTCCAGGTTCAGATCCCAGAACTTCGTAAGACCAGCTGTGGTGGCCCAAGCCTCCAATACTAGCACCCAGAAGGTGGAATCAAGAAGATCAGAAGCTCAGGGTCATTTTCAGCTACATAGCAAGTTCCAGGCCAGACTAGACTGCATGAGATCTTGTCTCTCAAAAGACACACACACACACACACACACACACACACACACACACACACACTATCAGGATGCCTACATGGCAATTCCTACCCTGTCTCCCCCCAACCCCCCCCCAAGGATAGTCTGATGCATATAGGTGGAGCACAGGGCAGTTCTTGGGTATCGCATGACATCTCAAACATAAAATCCGTTTTCAGAGTGTGTTTGTGTATCTTATGATCTCCATTTGGAGATATGGTTCCTACCATATCACCACATGGCTGCAAAGGCCATACAGCCTCTTGTCCTGGCCCGTGCAGTTGACATACCCAGTGGGTGTCATACAAAGGACATGGTTTACGATGATTTGAACCTGGAGGCCCTTGTACATAAATGTCCCCAGGGTCTCACTGTGTGTTTCATCTACACAGACATGATTCAATTGATGTCTGTCCTAAAGGCTTTCGATGCCATACATTCAGAGAAGACCCCTACTGCAGGTATTTCTTCATGTAAGATGATCAAAGTGGCATACATAACTGGAAAATTACCTCTTCCTCTTCTTCTTCTTCCTTTTTTTAAATTCAATGTAGGAAACAGCCAAGCCCTTGAAACTGGTGGGGAACACAGTTCTTCCCATAAAGCAGCTGGATCAAAGCCAGGTGATATGCTAAAGGAATTATTGCTGTTGATAGTATATTTTCAGAAAAGTCAACTTCTGCTCTTCTGACACATATTCCGTGTAAACCTTGGGACAGAGGACGGTCCTACCCAAGTTAAACATAGTGTTTTACCTATGTTGAATTTAAAGCCAGGGAGCTCTCCTCGAGGGTGAAAATACTGAAAAAGATGTGTGGGGGGGGGGAAAGGGGGAGGGAAGGAGAGATCCTGGTCTATCTTTAGGAGCCATCAGTAGCTTTAGAAAATTGTTTGAAAGTGCTTCAGTGCCAGGAAGTATTTATTCATCAGCAGGAAATGGAAATATATGTCACGCCTTATTCTCATACACTGGACATCACACTAGACATTTTGACTATGGATGATTTGAAGTGAGGAGTATTGGGCCTACAGATGGTGGTTTTAGTTGTTTTGCTTTGCTTTTCTTTTCTTTGCTTTGCTTTGGTTTGTTTTGTTTTTTGAGACCAAGTGTCACCATGTGGCCCTGGCTGGCTTGTTACTCAGTATGTAGATGAGGCTGCCCTCTGATTCACAGAGATCCATCTGCCCCTGCCCCGAAAGTGCTGGTTTAAATTAATTAAAGGCATGTATCACCATAACAAAAAACGGTATTTTTTTTAAATTTTTTTTGGAAGAGAAAAACATGCTGCATTTTTATTATTATCTTGAAAATGAATATAGGAGAGACAAGTCAATAAAGGCAGATGCACTTGACACTGACAGCTGAGAGATGCTGGTGCTCACTGAAAGAGGCAGAGAGTGGGTTTTCTCAGCCTTGTGGGTGATATACCCTGCTAACAGCTCGTTCAGGGTTCTATTGCTGGAACGACAATTTCATATTACTTTAGATGATCTCATTTGTGGCAATCTGTTACAGGAGCCACAAGAAATGAATGTAATCGGCTACTCAAACTTTCCGACTCTTGAGCCAATGTGAGATAGATTAAGGTCACAAACAAGGATGGGAACAGGTGTCACTCAAACCATGAGGTGTCCGCAGCCACCATGGACTGGTGCTCACTTGAGGAAATACTAATAAAATTACATAAATTTTGCATTTCTTGTTGCCGTTAGCTTCAAAAGTCAGCATTTTACACTCTCTCAACATTTGTTCACCTTTCATAGGACTGTAAACATTACTCGAGTGTGTGAAAGTGTACATACAGAGCCATTGAAAGTCTGTAACAGTTCCATGTGACACACTATGTGTCCATCGGGTTCTTGTTCCATCCTTGATACAAAGCCAGAGCGATGGAATCCCCTCCCCCACTTAAAAAATTATATACTGCGAACTCTTAGAAAAGTGGATGAAATTATCTGTATTCCAGATTTTGTTACAGACAAATGGTATGTCTGCTTTTTTAGTTTTGGATTATGCTTTTCCATTTCAGTCATCATGAGTGCTTGTCTCATGTCTTTTTTTCTGTGGTGGGACAGTGAGGGCCAACAACTCAACAGGTCTGCTCTGAAACAGCTCACTCACTGCTGTTCACATTGATTACGTAGCACACACAATGGAGAGTTAGTCAAAGTCAGCATGTGAGCTCTGTAGAACCACAACGAGTCTGGCTCTGAACTGCAATGTCGGACATTAGCCAGACGATCTGTGTTAAAGGTCAAACACAGAACAACTTTAGAGCTTTTGATCTGATAGACCTCTTATTTAGAAATTGTCCAGGAATGGTGGTAGGGTTTTAGCTGAGTGAGAAAGCACTTGCCTAGTATGCTCAGGGCTCTGGGTTCCATCCTCAGTACTGCAATAGAATTGCCCACAAGCCACTTAATTTTGTTCCTTAAACTATTCAAAAATGTCTATGTTCCTTTTCTATTTGTCTAAATCCGGCCACCCCACCCCACCCCCCACCGCACCAACGACTACATTAAATGCACTATTTTCATCTCACCATGGAGTAATCTCTGGACCTTTGGAGACTTTATAAATGGAATGCTCTTACACTTTGCGTAAAGCAGCCCGACAGGTCCTCTTAATGTGTCCTTGAACTGAGGACACTTTGTATATTGATGAAATTGAGACTGTAAATGTCTTCTTAAAGAGAAATTAAACAATACTTTTGAAAATCTTTTTGTAAGTTTTGGTAAATCCCTTTAGCTGTGTTTTACATCTAAAGTACAAGTCTCAATTTTCAAATTAAGGTGTTAGCTGCTATAAATTCCCAGTGACAGGAAGGCGTGGGATACTCTTGACTTTTAGAAAGATGGCTGTATGTTGGTAGCCAGGATCTTTCTAACAGTAGTGCAGTAGTGCTTACCTTATTAACTTAACAATAGATGTTTATGAGGATTTCCAATGCAGGGCCTAGTAAGAAATCTCTTCAAGGCAGGAGAAAAAGGAATGTGCTGAATGTCAGTACTACTGTCTACAACATCGAGCAGAGAATTAACCACTTCCTGAAGCTCCAGCATGAGCGACGGTGAGACTCTTGGCTTTTCCTGTTTTGACACTACAACCTATTCACATTTCTTGGTACTCATGAATAAACCATTTGCTAGGGACACGCTGGCATTTTTATGTTTGTGGAACTTCTAAGGAAACCTTCACATGGCTTAGGTTTGCTATGGAAAACTACACCTTTCAGCCTATAACCTCACATTGTAACCAGAGCCAGCTTTATTGCTAAGCTGTCAGTAAAGATGACCTTTCTGTCTTGTCAATTTAATGCATTTGAATCCGTTCACCATAAAGAATTTGCATGCATCCCATGAATGCGATAGGTGGATTAATGCTGAATATCTCAAAATGCTTTCCATGTAGCAGATACTCAATCATGCGGGGAAAGAGATAAATCTTATAGGAGAATAATCTATAAATTTATGGAGCAGGATAAATTACAAACATATGCGTGTTCCCCGGCACATGGAGAGGAGGAGTGGGTAGGCCTGCACAGAATTCTCTGATGGTAGTGGGGTGCGTGCCCTTTGGATCTGCTCTTCAGATAGAGGATTCTAACCAGAAGTTGTGCTTGTCACACTGACGGATAAATACTTGAGGAATGTGCTGGAAACAACAGTTCCTCCTGAGTTTTCTGTCTCTAAGGGACGGGAAGGGACTGCTGTCTCAGTCAGGGAGGAACAAATCCCGTTAGTGTAGGAGAAAGTAACCCACATCAGCTTCCTGTTCCCTGTCAGAGTATTGCAGATGACATTTCCTCGTCATCCATCGACAGCGTTAGTGAGGGCAAGGCAGTCGTGCTCTGAATATATTTATTGTAATGGAATATCACAGTGTTCCCTGTTATCTTTTACAGGAAGGAGATTTATCAGGAATATTCTCATCAGTTTTTGACTTTGGTCGTGATGTGGAACATAGATGTACACCAAATCAAGAAACAGACAGAAAAACTCTCTGTGAGTATGGGGCTTAGCTTTGAAGGAACCCATTGTATCAGCATCGGATGCAGCAGGGCTTCCTATACCAAGTCTGGAGGGAAGAAAGGGACAGGGCAAGAGCTTGGGGAGACAGGAAGGTAGTTCCATGTGGCCAGGAGGGACTGGCTATCCCACCTCCATCCCCCCCTCTTTGCCGGCCACCGGCTTGCTCCTTTTCAGGCAGAGAGATGGCAAGGTCAGTGATGAGTTAGGAGCCAGAATGGTGGGCGGAGGGTGGGGGGGATGAGCGGGCACTGCCCAGAGAGTGCAGGAGAAGGTATGGGCCTGTAAGCCCAGAGGGAGCCCTTCCTGATCCACAGTGTGCAGACAGGCATCAGGGGCAAGGGCCCCAACAGAGCCTTCTGACACAGTGATCAGAGGTACAGAGTGAGAGCAGTCACTGTGTCTGTGGCCGAGCAGGTGGAGGCTTGGCTCTCACTGCGTCCAGTTCAGACCAGCCCACTCCCCGAGGAGAGGGACGTAAGGCTTCATGCCACGATGGACATGTGATGACTGACTCCCCTTTAACATGGGCATTTGAATGAGCTTTTGGGGACAAGTACTGGGCACGGGACAGTACCATCCTTGAGGGATCTTCCTTCCTGGTGGAGGATGGAGCTGCCCTCCTCATGAAGACTCTGCCTTCCAAAGGTGGGGATGGGAGTGGGGGAGCAGAGGCTGGAATGCGGAGGGAGATGGAGACGCTGTCTAGTCCAGTGGTCAGGAGCATGGCCTCCCTCTGCAGTCTCACCCGTTGGGAGGCAGCCACAGTTCAGTGGCTTGCTCAATCAGACCAACTCGGGAAAAGAATTTGCCTCTGTGCCTCAGATTCCTAGGAGTGAAAGGGGACATTCTTAAAAGTCCCTGTCTCATACAGTGGATAAAAGTATTCAGGTGTGTGTTCTTACACTGTTCCAGGACAGTATCTGAAGCAAGTGTGACAGAATCCTTCCCTGTTAACCATGATTCCTGGCGGCTGGGTGGAGGGGGTGGGGGGGCGGCCCTGCTCATACTGGAAAGGACAAAACGGAGTCAGTTTCCGTGTAGGGGGTGACAGGTGATCAGGACATCTCAGGCTAATTTCTGTAGAAAACAGAGTTCGCCAGCTATGGAGGCCTCTCGTGGGTGAGTTTTCAAGTCCTCGGATACTAATGGGAATGTTTTTGAATACTATGAAGACAGTGTTCCTATTAAGTCAAGGAAATGTCCAAAGTACTTGTTTTAAATTATAGCGTTTAAATGAAATATTGAAGTATTTTTGGCAAGCTCTTCATTTTTCATGGAATGTTGTTATGTCTGTTTATATTTATAGAATATACTTGATGAGCAACAAAAGCTTTATGAGCAATTCCAAGTTATCCACAAGCAGAAAATAGAAGAATTTAAGGAGTTATGTAGTCAACACTTGAAGGTCTGTTGGACATTCCTACAAAATATCCCATTCATAGTGGAGGTCAAAGTACTGGCTTTCTTTCCTTACTGGGGTTCGAAATCCGGGGCTTACACCTGTAAACTTCACTCATTTGCTCACAGTGCTACCATGTCAGATAAATCTAACTACTAAATAAGCTTCTCCTTTCAGGGTTATTATTCATTCAACGCCTTCTGTTAGTATTCAGGCATCTGTAGTGGCCTGTCCTTGGGCTTCTGACAGGGTACGCGCTCCGCTGCAGCCACTAAGAGCACCACCAGTGCACATCACTATGTTCCCTTCTAAAGGGGCCCTGGCCCCTCATCCTATCCTCCTCCTCCTCTCTCTCTCTCTTTTCCTCTCCTTGTCTCTGTTCTGTGCTCTCTCTCTCTCTCCCTCCCTCCCTCTCTCTCTCCCTCCCTCCCTCTCCCTCTTTTTCCCCCTCATTCCTCCCTCTCTGACTCCTTCCTCTCTCTTCTCTCTTGCTGCTCCTGTCTCAGGAGGCCAATCTCCCCATCCCGTTTTTATGACCCCCTCCTCTAATTAAAATCCCCTGTGCTGGAATCCTGTCTCCTGGCATCTTTCTCAAGCGCTGCTTTTCTTAAATTACAACACCTTCAAAACAGCAGTTGGTGCATTGGTAACTTTACCCAGAGTCATACTTATTGTTAGGGGCAAGTGCTGCTTTTTATATCATGGCTTGCTCCCACAATCGGCATTCCCCTTGAACAGTGACATATTCGGTGTAGGCTGTCTACACATCCTTTGTTTCTTGGGCCCCTTTGTTTTCTGGCATTATTGAACTGTGTGTGCGTTGCTGTATGTGGACACTTAGAATGGTAAGACAAAGCCCATAGCATGATGGAGCAAAACAATAAGTGGAGATGAACACTTAGCGAATTGAGAACTATCGACTGTTTTAAGTGCACCTTATCAAATTCTTGTCCTCCAGCACATTGAGCTTGGACATGGGCATGTATATAGTTACTCCTGAATTAATTAGTTGTTGTTCACTCAAATTCTCTTTTCCGAGTTGATGATGTTAAATGCCTCGTGTTCGTATTAAATTTCCTTCATCCAGGCTAATTGATATAATCCCAATCAACCGAGTTAAAAAGAATTCTTTTCATGTTTTGTCGTACTTGGCACACACTGGGACACATGTGTGCAGGCCTGCTAATTTGAAGTGCTTTTGAGTAGTGGCTGTCAAGCTGCAGTCCTCAGGGGAGGCCTTCGAACTCATCCTGCAGGTTTGAGGTAGCTGTTAGTCTCACCCTCATCTCAGGACTGCATTTCCGGGGGTGCCCTTCGTCATCTGCACCGTACATACCACACGCTGCCTCCTCTTCCTTTTCCTCCTCGTCCTCCCCTCCTTACCCTCTCCCTCTTCCACCCCCTCCCTCTCCTCCACCATCGTGGTCTTTGTCTTCATCTTCTTTGTCTCCTCCTCCTCTGTTTTCCTCTCTACCCACCTCCACCACCCCGCTCCCCACCGCCCACAGCCACCTCTCCTATTCTGCCTTTGAGGACAGACATTCACGGTTTGTGCTATTATATTCAGTTTGCTTACTGTAACGTTTCCCCTATAGTCATGCCGCTCCTGTCTCTTCTTGCTTTCCTCCCGGAATATTAATCTTTCTGTGAACCTGTAGTCAGTCATTAACCTCCATTTTTACCTGCATATGTCAAAAAGTTGCCCATCCATCCTGATGCTAAAGTGTTGTGTAATTTCTGGTTCCGTATTCACTTCCGTCACTGAAATATAGAAGAGATCATCTAATAGTTTTGCAATTCTTCTATATGTCACCACAGTGTGTTTATAAATAGACAGAATCTCTCTGTGTAGCCCCAGCTGGCCTGGAACTCACTATGTAGTGGCTGTTCTTCTACTTGTGGTGATCCTCCTGCCTCTAGCGTTGGAGTGATGGAATTACAGGCATGCATTACCAGGCCTCTCTGCAGGTCTTAATGCAACAGATTTGATGTGGTATATCCTGATTCATTCATTGTTGAACATTCAGTCCTGATCATAGCCATCCTAATCACACAAAGTTGTGCGTCTCCACTTGTAGCTGTATTATGCTCGGCTTCACGTTTCCACATTCCTTTAATGGGTATTTTGATTTTCATATACTATACAGTATACGTTTACTTTGGGATAGTTAATGGCCATACCTTGTACTGTAATACATACCGCTTTTGAAGTGCAACTGTCCACAGTGTTGAACTGAGATGACCATCAGCGACTTCTAATTAGCCACGTCTTTTGGTTTTAGAATCTACGGGCTATTAAGAGTTGTCGCCGAAAAGCTATTATCGAGGAAGCCAGAAAACAAATGGACATCTTGGAAAGGAAACTTACTACAGAAACTGTGAGTAGAACGTTATTTTTTTTTTAAATGAGGGTGGGTGGGATTATATAAGCATTAAATATTTTCTTTCCTAAAGTATATGTTATATCAACACAAACATTAATCAGATGTTTAATACCCTTGTTCAGGTAAAGCTGCAGGAAGAAAAACCTGATGCTAGATCATCTCTTCTATCCCTGCTATTCTCATAACACCTTGAAGAAAGAAGCTCAACCACCATCATACGATTTCATCAAACTATTATCTGTGTGAATCTATGGCGCCACGGAGACTGCAATTGAAATGATTGTAACTGCCGCGTCCACAGCTGTGAGGTGCCAGAAAACCTTTACTGAGAATGCTTTGTTTTTCAAATTTATTGTGCACGTAGTATGTGCACGTCAGTGATATACGGCATGTTCTGTACACTTAAAGCTCCTGCCCTGTGATTTCATAGATACGGGTATAGCTCTACCTGCCGTGGGAAGTCTTTACTTGGAAACTTTTGATTGAATAAACGTGAAATTGTTTCAGACTTGCTGGGATGAGTCACTGAATTGCACCCTCCTCCTGACATCTCACGCCTTTTAAAACAGAGGTGTGCTGTCACCGGCGTTTCTGCATGGGTCCAGTTGTAGCCCCGGCCACTTTGTCTCATTGTGTCCTGTTGTGTAGAAGCATTGGAAACAGACCGCGTTCAGCATCTCCCATCTTCCACAAGTGGAACTCGTTCCTCCACAGTCAATGAGGGCTTCCCCTCTGGGATCACTTTACTTCATAAACTGAATTATCCGGGGTGGGGTGGGGTGGGAGTGGGGGTGGGGGTGGGATGGGATGGGATGGGATGGGATTGGGAGATAATTCCCACTTTGTGCAAAGTATGTGTAGGCATATGGACCTTTACTACTCTTTCCAACTTTGAATATCTCCTACTTGAGATGTTCTGACTATCAATACCAAATGATAAATACATTACCAAAGTATTGAATCATGTGTTACTCAAGTGTGTGTGTGTGTGTGTGTGTATGTGTGTGTGTGAAGTACCCTGGTATTGTAGTTAAAGGTAATTGTGACCCATTATGAAGTGTGGTTCAGGGAACTGAACTCAGGATCCCTGAAAGCACTGTTGTAAGGAGTAAGGTTTTTCCTCCCACCACCAGTCTTGTCCCACTGTCGTGCCAACCACAAATAACACACAGAGACTCTGTATTTGATATAATTCGGTTGGCCAGTTACTTGTTTCTTATTGGCTAGCTCTGTTTTAAGTATTAACCCATTTCTGTTAATATAAGTACTTGCACGTGATCTATCTTACCAGAGAGCCGGCTGGCTTCCTGCTCTCTCCAGACTCTCCATCTTGACTCCTCCTTACTCCTTCCTCTTTCTTCCTTGTCTCCTATTCCTTCCTATCAACCTTTCCTATTAGCCAACAGTGCTTTATCCATTAGCCAGTATGAGAAACATTTTCAGAATGACATCTCCCATCACACTGTAAGCATTCTTAATTACTGGGCCCTTTCCCTAGGTCAAAAATCAGTAACCCTACTATATACAGACGACAAACAGGCTGAGAAAGAAATCGGAGAAACAGCACCCTTTACAATAGCCACAAAAAACATAAAGTATCTTGGTATAATGCTTACAAGTGAAAGACCTGTATAATAATAAGAACTTATATGGGTACTTCAATTTTATGTGGTAACTAGCACAAAGGTATACATGTGGGAAAATGATGGGTAAGCATCGCTTACATTGTAGAAGTATAGACTGTGAAGAAGATAACTGCACTTCAGTTGACCTTGCTCTGGCCTAGACCATCACTAACAAGGCCACTAAGAGGTCAAATTCATAGATTTCCAACTTTGAAATATCTAATATTCTGAGTTTAGGACAGATTAGAATTTCTTTACAGGAGATTCTGATAATTAAATTGCACCCCATTGTATATAACATTTTTAAAAAATAAAAAGAAGTAAAATATATAACCTAAAGACATAAATCACTACCAATCAGGTTATCTCCTTGCAATTTCTCTTTCCAATGGTCTTTCATCCTTTCGTTCATAGATAGAAACACCTACTTTGCATTTCTTTGTGCTGCCTGGTCACAGGACATGGCCAGTTCAGGCTACATATACTCAATCATACCACAAGGACACTTGCCCAAGTATGTTTATAGCAGCTTTATTCATACTAGTCAGAACTTTGAAACAACCTACATAAAAATGTGGTACGTTTAGACAATGGAGTACTACAGTGCTAAAAAGCAACAACATCTTGGAATTCACAGGCAAATGCATAGAACCAGAAAAGATCATCCTAAGTGAGGAAATTCAGACCCAGAAAGACAAACATAGTATGTACTCACTCATTAGTGAATATTAGATGTAAAGCAAGGGATAACCATGCTACAATGCATAGAGTCGGAGAGCCTAAATATCAAGGAGAGATTGGTTGAGGGGGAGAGGGAATGCTCAGATCTCCTTGTGAAGGAAAAATAGAAGACATCTCTTGGGTGGATTGGGGGTGGGTGGGATGGAAATGTGAGGGTTCAGGTGAGGGATGGAGAGGGAAAGTACTAAATGAGAAAACTGGAAAGGGGGCATTTGTTGGTCTGGTAGAAATCTAGTGCAAGGGAAACTCTCAGGAATCTACAAGGATGACCCCATCTGAGATGCTAAGTTTTAGAGATATTAAATCCTAGTGAATCACCACTTGCATCAGTGAAATTTTCATTCAGACTTAATATGTCTTCTTTTGTTTGCAATTGTGACATATGTCTGTCATTGTAGAACCTGGGAGCCTGAACAGTACCATCAAGAGTTCGAGGCCAACTTGGCTATATAGTGAGTTTGAAGCCAGCCTGTACTACATAGGAAGATGCTAGCTGAAAAAAAACATTAGAGGGTGAGGATACACAGATGAAAATGAATTATTTTTATTAATTTGTTTAATATTGTCACCAATTGAGTTGCATCCTCCAATTTTATCTGGTGAAGTTTTCACCTCTATTACATCACAATGGGACTTGTAAATATATAATGAGACATATTAACATGAATATTGTATTTGAGTGCTTTGTGTATCTGCACACAGAAAGAACACCACATGAAGAGGAAGGCAGAGATGAATCTATACACCAAAGACTACCAAAGATTATGAGCAAAGCACCAAAAAGTAAGAAATCCTTGGAATAGGTTCTTTCTCACCACCCTCAGAAGGAATCAACCCTTCAGTATACTGAGTAGGACTTCTGACTTCCAGAACTGAGAGACAACGTTTCTGCTGCTTTAGCCACCATTTTAGTTACTTTTCTATTGTTGTGAGGACATGCCAGGACCAAGGCAACTTATAACGGAAGCATTTTAAATGGAAACATTTTTACAATTTCCGGGGTTAGTCCATGAAAATCATGGCATTGGAGCAGTATGAGAGCTCACATTTGATCCACAAGTTGCAGGCAGATGAGAGGGGTTGGGGAGAGAGGACTGATGTGGAATTTTGAAACCTGAAAGCCGCCCCACGTGACACACCACTCCAATAAGGCCAAACTTTCTAATCATTTCAAAATAATTTACAGTAACTGAAAACCAAGCATTAAAACATATAAGCATATGGATACAGTTATTTATGATCCCATGAACCATTATTATCTCTATTAGCATCCAGAAGCTGTCTCTAGAAAGACATATAGTTGCCTAATACAGATGGCATGGCTCATCTCCAAAAAGTCCAAGATGCTGCATGGCAATCCTCCCATAAGTGCTAGCCTTAAGTCATACACAAAGGCACAGATGACTCTGACACTACAGGGTCTGTAAGACCAGATGATCCAAGAACTGTGTTGTATCACAGTTTGACATTGCTCAAGTATCTCTCCTACTCTCAGCCTCTTGACTTTTTGTGACACATGACACATGGGCCGAGTAACTGAGGTGACTATTTGCTCCTAAGAACACCAAGATACCAACCAGGCCTCCAATTCTTTCTTGTGGGGACCTCAAGATGCAGCCATTTGTCTCTACTTGGGAATGTCTTTGACGCCTGAACCCCTAAAAATCCACTGAGATGAGAAGTACATCCACAGATCTTTTAAGAACTTATCTCCCATCCCTCTTTAGTGGCTATTCTGTCTTACCAAAGTGTTCACTGTGCTTCCTTTTACAATCCATTTCCAGTAAGTCTGATGGTAATTGTAGAAACAGACTCCAGTGATGTTCTGAGGGATAACCAAGAAATCCAAAGCTCCTTAAACCACATGGTGAGACTGGGGGCGGGGGAGGTATTAACATTGTACTGGGGAAAAAGAAAATAAAGATTTATGGCTGCCCGTGTGATCAAAAAACACTTCTTCACTAGATTGAAATGGAAAGTAACACAGTTATATCAATGGATACATGCTATGTATCCACGTTCTTATTAATATTCTTGCATAATGATTTCACTGCAGGTGGGCTTTGAGATTTCAAATTCTTGGGCCATCCCCAGCACCCCTCTCTGCCTCCTACTACTGATCAAGACGTGAGCTCTCAGCTGTTCCTGCTGCTATGCCTTTGCTTTGCCATCATAGACTCTAATCATAAGCCCCACATTAAATGTTTTCATTTATAAGTTGACTTGCTCATGCTTTTTAATCACAGGAATAGAAAAGTAACTGAAACAGAGGGGTTTCACTAGAAGAAATAAAAATAAAAATAAGGTAAATCCTGTGTGACAAGGATGTTACTAGGCTCTCTTAGCATCATAGAAACTGTTGAACCTACAGGAGGGTGTCACGAGAGGATGAGTGACAATTATGATGCCACCCCCAAGGTGATAGCTAAATTTTCGTTTAAAAGATAATGAGTGAGCCAGGCATGGTGGCTGTGGTGATTTGAATAAGAGTGTCCCCCACAAGCTCATATACTTGCATGCTTAGTCACCAGTTGATCTGTTAAAGGCTGAGATGCAGCTTTGTTGGAGGAAGTGTGTCACTGGGAGTGTGCTTTGAGATTTCAAAAGCTCTCTCTGTGTCTCTCTCTGTCTGTGTCTCTCTGTCTGTCTCTCTCTCTCTCTCCTGCCTGAGGATTGAGATGTAAAGCTCTCAGCTAGCACGCCTATGTCTGTTTCCCATCATGAGCCTCAGTTGAAGAAATGCCTACATGAGATCCAGCTATAAGACATTTTCTCATTTGGTGATCAATGGAGGAGGGCCCATGCCTGGGCTCTATAGGAAACTCCTGTGTTCTATAGGAAATCAGGATGAACAAAGAAACCATGCATATTGAGCTGGGCAATGCTGAGCTGGCACTGCTCTTCACTGAACACTCCAGCA